GGCGCTCCCAGGGGCCCAAGCAGCCTGGAGCCGGGATGCAGCACCACATCCCTTCCCCTCCCGTGGGGCCCGGCGGGGTAGGGCACAGCTCACCTCTGCTGCCCCCCGGCTTGACGAGGGACTGCCTCTCTCCCGGCCTTCCCCGCCACGCAGAACCACATCCCTTCCCCTCCCGTGGGGCCCGGCGGGGTAGGGCACAGCTCACCTCTGCTGCCCCCCGGCTTGACGAGTGACTGCCTCTCTCCTGGCTTTCCCCGCCACGCAGCGTGTTCTGGGACCTTTACTGCGCAGCCCCCGAGAGGCGAGACACTTGTGAACATTCGAGTGAAGCCAAAGCCTTTCATGACTACGTGAGTAACAAGTTTTCTAATCCTGGCGGTAATTACAGCGTTGGGGAGCTCCGGCTTCTCCGGCGGCGCCGGGAGCCGACGTAACCCACCGGCACGTTGGTTGTGTTGGGTGTTGTGCCTTGTGTTGGTGTTTTTTCCTTAAACCGACAATGTTCTGATTTGACTGAACAGTATTTCATAATGTTGCAATTATGTAAATTAGCTCAGATACTTATCTTAAGCACTTAAAGGCATTCAGGCAACTGGTAGAGTGAAGCAGTTTTGCAAAGCAATGGACAACAGAGCGTTTACTAGGGGGTCTAGGGTGAGATATTTCATGCTGAGGGCACCTCCCGGAGCGGGCAGGGGTTGGACTGCAGTGGGGTGAAAAGGGGGAATTCCCCAATATGCTGTTGAATGCCCCAGTTAATGTCTCCCTGCCTTTGGTCTTCCTTGGTGTTGAGTCCTCCCTCAAAACCAGGCAGGTGAAGGTGTTTCCTGGTTGAAGATGGTCTTGCAGGCTCCTCTTGGTTGACAGTGTGCATCTTGTTGGTGTTTTGGGTTGGTCTCTGCAGGGGCATCAGCACAACCCAGAGATGATGCTCCTGGGTGGGACGGCAGGGTTGAGGTGCCTCCCAAAAGGGCTGCTCTTGGTGAGGGCGTGTGGCATGTTGCCTGGGGTGGGCAGTGGGTGGGCTGTCTGCTCCCATCCCATGCATCGCCCGCGTTCGCAGCATCAGGAGGAATTTCCATCAAGGGATTAGTCACCTGGCTGTGGGCTTGGACCCCAGTCAAGTGAATTTAAACACTGTAGCAGGAGCTGGTTTTGTCTGCTCCGGGGAGCCAATGGTATGGAAACCATTTTTCCTCCCTTCCCAAATTTCTCAGTTGCCTCAACATGCCTGGGTTGGGATGTGTGAGGGTTTGCTGGCGAGCAGCACCGGGCGAGTGTCTCGGGGACCTTGGCAGTGCTGCTGCGTGCCAGGACTGGATGGGGGGGGCGCCCCGGGGGATTGGCAGTGGC